ATCAAACATCTAGAGAGGCATATGATGAAGAAGAGGATGATGGTATGGTGTACATCGAAGAAGAGATTGACTTGGAAGCAGAGAGAAGAAAGAGGGGAGTGTCGCGCAATACGTTGTTGAAACAGCTACATCGAGAAGGTATTTGCGAGGTACACTTGTTGAGAGAACCATCTAGGTGTTCCTTTGATTACTATGTGTTGTATAGGATACCCAAAAGGAAGAGGAAAGTGCCTCGCTCTGAGAAATATGGGTCACCTCCAAGAATATTGTCTCCCCTACAGGATGGGTAACCGAAGAAGAAGCACTAGAAGAAAGTAGAAAGGGAATCCAGGAAGCGGAAGCTCAGTGCGAAATATTGCATGTTGAGTTATTACAAGGAAATAATTCAACGGAAGACAAATAGGAAGTGGATATAGATGCTGCTGAAAAGGTCATCTTCAAGAGACCAGCCATGAAATTAACTAAACATTTGAGGCCATTGCACGTGAAGGCTTTAGTCAATGGTATACCTTTGGCAAAGGTCCTCATTGATAATGTAGCAGCCATAAATACCATCTCGTCCAGGATGATGAGAAAATTTGCAAAGACAGAAAGCGATATGATCCCGACAGAAGTCATTCTCACAAGTTTCAATCGGGGAGCAACTTCGTCTAAAGAAGTGTGCCACTGGACATAACTGTGGGAACAACTACTAGGACTACAATATTTTTTGTAATAGATGGTCCTACTAGTTACGATGTGCTACTGGGAAGGGACTGGATTCACTAAAGTCGTTGCACACCTTCATCGCTCCACCACAATGCCTGTTTTCTGGATGACAAGGGCGAAGCAGAAGTGGTGCAAGCGAATCATAGGCCCTTTGTCGCAGAAGCAAACTCAGTGGAAAGATTCATGTATGAAGGAAATTATGGACCTGATAGAGTGGTTCAAGATAGAAATGAGACTCAATTTGTCGCACAGAGTGAAGAGCCATTCTCAGTGGATGCACTTACTGAAATATTCAGTCAAATGAGGCCAAACATAGTGGCTCTAGAAGAGTCAGTAATTGACAAAAAGGTAATCAAAGAATTTAAATGAGTTGTCAGCAACAAGGGCAAATGACCGACATTCTGGCCTTCAAAGTCAAGTTAATGGCTTTCAATAAAGAATCTAAAGACAAGACGAAAGAAGAAGCAGTATTAAAAGCATTGGGAAACAAATTAGTAGTGTTCGAGTTGGAGCAGAATATTGACCGAGAAGTCAACAAGGTGGATTGCTTAGAAGAGGAAGTGCTTATGAGGAACTTGGACGATGAAGTAATGAGGATCACAAAGTCTGGCCACGCTCAAGCACAAGACCCTTTGAGTAGGGTAAATATTGGCGACGAAGGAGAAGATTGCCCAACATTTGTCAGCCAAATGCTTAGTCAGGAGGTTAGTAATAAATTAATCGCTTTATTAAAATAGTATAAAGATTGTTTTGCTTGGGAATATAAGCATATGCCTGGTTTGGATAAGAATTTGGAAGAACATAGATTACCAACTAAGCCAAATTTGAAGAAAGGCCACACGCTCAGCATGGGAAGGTTCAGAGGTAGAATGATTATAAAGTTCTTGCATGCTCGAATAGGACTCAGTCAGTATTTTGGAACGGCGCTAGTAACCAAAATACCAGAAAAAGTGGTATCGCCCAAGGGCGGAAGATTTACTAGGGCTCCAACGTCCCTTAAGGTAATAGACATTGGACCAAGCGGAAAAACAAAAGTATTATATTCAAAAGACCAAAAACTCAAAGCAATAGGAAAAAGCACTGGGTTGAAAATTGGGGGTTGAAGAGTGATTTTTAATAAATCTGAATTCCTAGCGCGATCAAAAATCACCTTGGTAGGGCCATGATTTACCAGACGTGCATACCACCTACGAAAAATAATATCAGTTTTGGGCTAAGTGCAAATACCTTTCTCGCGAATCGGCGTTAGTGGCAAAGAGTTCAGAAACGGAGGGCCTTGAGTACAAGGGAAGAGCTGACCTACCATCGCTTGTCCGATAGATTCAGCATCATTAAATGATGGACCCAAATAAAACTCATGGAGATCAGGGTTGGCCGATGAAAGAAAGTTTGAGTTTATATATGGCCTGGTGAGGAGATTTTGGAAATTCTCGAAACTAAGAGAGTTATCAGAAGGAGTTTGTAGAGACGTGGGTTAATGATGCGATGAAGTGGTGTGTCTTTTGGGTTATAAGGGTGTAGAGTTACACTTTTCAGGTTATTAAGGATTACCGTCAAATGTAAATAATCATTACAATTATCCGCTCTTTTTCGAGAAAGCAAGCAATGCCAGAAAGAATATGGTATAAGATTAATACTTGGCATTAATTTTACCATATTGAGGGGTAATTGTTGACATACAAAAATAAGGCCCAATCGAATGAGACCCAATGATTAAATGAGGCCCAATTATTAAGTAAGGCTCAATTATGTGGTCCAAGAAATGGAGCCCAGTTAGGAAAATTGAGGAATTAGCCCAAATAAGACCATTGTAAAATATAATGACAGCCCACGAGCAGAGGACTATCATCGCCCAAGCCTGCAAAACGTCCAGGCTCTGAGCGAATGAAGTACCCTATTGTCGCTCAGAACGACGGTCTCACTCTCGCCCAAGCCTTCGAGACGCCCAATGTCTGGATGAATATAGCGTTTTGTTCAGTTATTGAAGCGGTTATTGAGCAACCTTATCACACCCCACGATCCAAGAATCTCGGTTACAACTGGTTAAACGACAAGAGTACTAAGCAGTTGATAACGGCAGTTCCATGACAAGTCAGCCATCACGAAAAAAGTGGGTAGTTATAGAGTGTCAAACAGTTTCCAAGCAGTTTTACAAGAGTTATCGGTAAAGGAGTATAAAAAGGAAAAGAAGACAGAAAAAAAGGGAATCCGAATCAAAGACTCTCAACAGAGAATATGTAATTTCAATTCATTTACTTTCTATTTGAAAACTTTCAATTTACTTCGTGTGCTTGTGCCCCTTGGAGGCGTTTTGCTTCTTTCCAATTGTAATCGTCATAAATAAAGCACCCATATTTGAGACTTTGTCTCAAGAGGTTTGTTCCTTACACAATCGTCTGAACCTTTCTTTTAATTGTTAGCGATAATCCGCGCGAAACAAGTACACATCATGATTTTAAGAGGGGCATCCGACGAAGGCTTCGAAGATTGAGTGCAAATATGATATCTATGGGTTTTCACTAGCTGTGCAGGTAAATGGTAAAATCCTATCATTTTGACATTTTATTAAATTTCTACACAGAATGCTAATAAGTTCGGTAGGTATGGACTTATGAGGCTATCCTAGTATTAGCAGCTAAATGAGCAATAAGAAATGACCAAACAAGGGTCTAGAGGATGCTGAACTGGCAGGAGATTGATGTCCCTAATGCAAAAGATATTAATATTATCCTTGACAATCCCTGAGTTAGCAATGTAATTAACATGTGTTTAAATGTTGATATATCAACTTGAAGTTCGTAAAGTGCTAATAGCTACGATTGAGAAGATGGAAGGGGGAGTACGTTCAAAGGTTGTACCTTCCGCCTAGAGAGGTTGATCCGTTCCTCGAAGTTTATATTGATGGTGAGGAGTTATGTTGATTTATAGTTCTATTTTATATTATTACATGTGATAGAATTGTACCAATTTCGATTTTTATTTATTTAAGAGCACTCTCTTATTGCATGAATATCTCATCCCCAACATGTAGAGATGCTCAACATATGTTTGCTAACGAGGTATGTTTATTAATAGTTATATTTAGCCCCTGTTTGACAACAAAAAAAAAAAAAAAACAATGGTTTGAATAGTGTTTTTATGAGAATATGTGATTATAAAGTAGGAAAAAGTTTTGAATTTACGTTCAAAATATTTTATTTTGTGAATGTATTGTTGAAAACAAATATGTAGAAAAAAAAGAATTTTCGAATAATAGTTGTCAAACAGAGGCTCAATATTTTTTGATATGATAAAATTGTAATAAGTTTGTATTTTCTTATGTACAATGTCCTATGGTATGGAGATCTCCGTCTCCATCCGTACGTCGATATCCTACATCATATATGTGTAATTCCTCTAAATTGCATCGATCTTCACCTGTTATGTACTCATATTCTTTTGTCTCCCATGATTTACTTGAACGCTTAAGCAGACATATATCAGTGATAGAGAAAATAATATAGAGGTTTTGCGAACTTAAATATGATGTTGGAATAAGATGGACAATGGTATTGAGTGGGAACGATCCTACCATTAGATAGATGGAACAACATGGGAGGTCAATAGGAGCTTGATGTTGGAATGGCGATGGATAGGATGTATGGTTGACGAATGGAATGGATAGGGTGCCCAAGGTGATGGAGAAAGTGCCAAAGGTGGCAGAGGGTTGGTGGATTGGATGAAGAGGGTGCCCAAGGTGATAAGAGGTTGGTTGATGGGACAAAGAGGGTACTTGAGTTGATAGAAAGTAGAAAGTAAAAGGCTGAGGTGATTGAGTTGAAGGTGTTGAATAAGAGAATGAAAATACCACCACAACACGTGAGTTCTTCATTCACAAATGGGACGAAGAGACTAACGTACGTGGATAGCACAAAAGTCGACTTTTCCAGAAGGTCGACCATGTAAAAGAAATAAGTTCCTTTTTTTTAGTAGAGTCTTGCTCTTATTAATAGAATCTCACTTGTGGCGGAGGAATACCGTAATTACATACTCGATCGTTGACATTACATCAAAAACAAACTATATCTACTAAACGACAAAGGATTAAAACATGTTTAACGATAAACAAGCTAAACATAACTAATGAGAAAAACAAATAAAACAAACAAACCAAGCCTAACAACCCGCCAAAATAACACAAATAAATCAACTACGAATATAAGCTACTCCAAGTCGATCTAAACGGAAAAGTCCACGAGCAACTCTGGGTAGCTCCATGTGTGAGTAAAACCTCTGTGTATGCCCTTTTGCACCTAATTTTGCCAATGTTCTGCCACTTGATTACCTTCCCTGTATTGATGCATTACATGAACCTCAAAAAGATTAATCAAAACAAATAGCTCTTCCCAAAAATCCCACGGATACCAGACTGTGCACTTACGGTTTATTAGCCAATTAACAATAATTAGAGAATCACATTCAATTTCAACAACACAAGCCCCAAGTTGTTGGCATACATTCAAACCTTCTATAATAGCCCTCAAGTCTGCTTCTGTATTAGTAGCCTCCCCTAATTGAGATGTAAAACCAGCCATAACTTTCCCAAACTCATCCCTAATAACACCCACACAACCATGTGGACCAGGGTTCTCGAAACTACAGCCATCTACATTAAGTTTGACCCTACCCGCTATCGGCTTCCTCCAAGTGATCATACGAGTTTTCCTTTACCGCCGCATCACAATGGAATGTCCAAATTAGACAAAATTCTAGCATCATGAGAAGAAAGAACATTAACCTTATTTATGGAAGAGGCCACCTGCTGCAATTAGAATATTATAGATGTGACTGCTTCCTCAACTGATTCATACCTTCCCTACTAGACAGCTGTTACATCTTGAAACTATAGCAATACCCACTTTAAGAATACGAGAATCGACACAGAGGCTCCCTAATAAAGCTTTCCACATAGTCACTGACACCCGCTTAGGAATAGCTTTGTTCCAAACCCACTTGGCCCAATGCACTTCTGGAGCTTTAATTCTAAGCATATCTCAAGCACTTCTCGAAGTAAAGATGCCCTGCTTTTGTGGTTTTGATGAAGGCAAAATAATAATTCCATTTAATTTCGGGTTTGTTCGTTTTTAGCGAATTACTAGTCTAATTTGATCGGAAATGGGCCAATGATCACAACTCAGGGCCTTTGGCCCTGACGCACGTCAAATTTTGGGCAAATTCCGTCATTTAGGCCATCAATTAAGCGTTTTTGCCGTTT